GAACCGGAAACGCTTAAAGCTCTTAGAGAGGACCCTGTTCTACGACAGATCTCGAAAGCTCCCATTTATCCGGTGGGACCAATAGTCAGATCTTTGGACGAGTTTACAGGCCAAGAGGAGAAAGAGTGCCTAGCATGGCTAGATGAACAACCCACTGAATCAGTGCTTTACGTCTCCCTCGGAAGCGGGGGGACATTATCAAACGAGCAGCTCACTGAATTCGCATTGGGGTTGGAACTGAGCCAGAAAAGATTCGTCTGGGTGGTACGGCCACCCGCCAGGAAGGAGACAGCGGCGAGTTTTTTCACGTCCGGCAACGTAAGCTGTGGCCCGTCAAAGTACCTGCCGGAGGGGTTCATGACTAGAATCAAGGGAAGAGGGTTTTTTGTAAACACGTGGGGTCCGCAGACGGCGATCTTGCGCCATGCATCCATAGGCGGATTCCTGTGTCACTGTGGGTGGAACTCGACTCTGGAGAGCATAGCCAACGGAGTGCCTGTGATCGCATGGCCACTCTACGCCGAGCAAAGGTTGAATGCAACGATGCTAACAGAGGATTGGGGCATGGCGATCCGGACGGAGCACTTACCAACGAAGCGTTTGATAGGTCGCGAGGAGATAGGGAGACTGGTTCAGTTGGTGTTGGGCAGTGGAGAGGGGAAAGCGTTACGGAGCAGAGCTAGGGAGCTCCAAATTAGTGCATTAAGAGCTATGGGTGATGGTGGATCTGTGCATAATTCACTCTCGCAGTTTGTTCGAGATTGTGAGATGAGCTTGGAGAGGAGCCAGCAGGAAAAGACTCCAAAGTCCAAAGAAAAATGCTGATCAGAGCCCATGACGACGTACTTTCAGACTCAAAAATACAAGTCATTTGGTTCCATTTAGTGAATATATATCTCTGCTGCTATGTTTAACGACGACTTAAATATTGTAGTATAATACTATAATATGTATTTTTCTTTTTGTTTTTGTGTTGATATTGATCAATATCAGTCAGAGCAAAGTCCATTCGAATATCCATCATGGCCTAGCATTGGGAATTTCTCCGCATGAAATAAAGGATAAAAGTAGGGAGATATTCCCGATGCAAGGTTATAGGACTTTACTCTGACTGTTGTTTGTTTATCTGCTTTCTCGGAGATGGGATTCAGTCATTGGAAGGCCCATTCAAATCACTATCATAGCCTTGTATTGGGTCCATGAAATAAAGTATAAAAGTACAGAGATGTTCCCGATGCAAGGCAAGCTGTTCGAACAGGTCTTGCAGTGACTGAAGCCGATCAGAATTTTATAGCCCCATACAGGGGGAATGCATCTGACCGTTGATCGTGAATTGATGTTAAATTCACGGACAGGATGTGATTTATAGGGGGAGAGGGTTAATAGGGGGTTGGAATTCAGAATTCTTCATCGGTTGTATCCGTATTAAACTTTTTTGCCGTTGAACTTTTACATTATGACAAATACATTTTTACCGTTAAATCCAATAGTAAAAATCGTTAAATTACCAAAATAGTTTACTAAACTTTTTTTATTTTCTTTTTCTTGCCCATTTTCTGTTAAAACCCAACTAATCCAAAAAATACCTCACTGTCTGAAAAAGAGTCTCGTCTCGCTGCTCTCACCCTTAACCCTTTGCAATTTTGCCTTTCTACTTATTTTCTGGCGCACCAGTACAGCGGGAGTAGAGTCTCCGGCACACCTGCAGAGCGAAAACAGAGTGGTAGGCTCAAACTCTCTCTCGGTCTCTCCTGTCTCAGACTCTAGTTCAAAACTTGTGCCAGAACACCAATCCAACCTAATTGAATTTCTAAGCTCTGAGGGAGATTACTTTGGGAGAGAAACAACAGAAAGAAAGAGAGAGAAGCTCTAAGCCCTAAGGCTGAGTTTGAAAGGAGTATAAATGCAAATATGTAGAGTGCAAAACCTTATATTTTGTATTATTCTGTAAGGATTTACACTACATATTCGTATTTGTACTTTCCAAACTGAGCCTAAGGTATATCACTTTGAGAGAAATAGAGAAAATGACAGAAATAATGATAGAGTTTGGAGTTTTAAAAGCCTTGGAAATGGTGAGATAGCAAGTTGGGTTTCTCGAATGCCAATGTATAAAAATACAAACACATGTAGAGAAGAAACAAGCCACATAAATTTCTGTAACATGGCAACGTTATTGTAGGATCTACCTGATCATTTTCATGTTTATCGGTTTTGTTGGTTCTGTTGTCTCAATATCGATTTTGATGAGGGGTAATTTGGTCTTCCGAATTATATCGCGACACGTGACCTTCAAGCGATACCTCGGCATTGAATAAGTGAACCAGCTTGGCAAGTCAGTCTAAAACACCTCACTAGGCCGACGTCTACTACCTAGGCCGGGCCGAGCTAATAGGTCTCCCAATATATAGTGACCTACCTCAAAGACCGACCGAGCTGTAAGAACCTATGGCGACCTGCAAGTCGAGCGCACTGACTTGTCTCGTAGATACATTACTAGCTCGAGATCTCTGAAGCATTAATGCATCGACCATAGGCCGGCCTACCGCATTGCATGCATCTGAATTAATCGGATAGACCGTAACCCCCGCGTAGATCATGTAACCGACATAATTACTCGCCCGACCAAGCGGAAATAGCTCCGTGAGAGCAATGAAACCCGTTGTGAGAAGGCTCAAGTCACTCACACCTATATAAAGTCCTCATTCTTACCAGTGAAGGTATGTGTGATTAAGCTCTCAAGCATTCCTATCTCCTAATGAACTTTCAGAAACAACTCTCTGACTTAAGCATTGGAGTGCCCACCCCGGGTACTCTAATTATGTCCTTGCAAAACAAAATAGCTCGGCCATCTACAGCTCGTTCCTGACAAGGTAATCATTCGAATCAGCGTCCAAGCCACCTAACACACGAGAGCGTTCAGATCGCCCTACATCAGATTTCATCTGAAGTGAATGGGTGGCTTCTAGCAAATCAAACTTTCCGATCGGGGGATGAGTCGCAAAAGTTGAAGAGGATTAAAGCTCTACTCGGGGCAATCATTAAGCCTACTAAGACAATTCAGGGTTTCTATGAGATTTTTTTTTCATTTCTATGAGAATAAAAAGATTTGAATTTTTTTGTTGGTTCTATGGAGAAGACAATGAACTTCAATGGAGAAGACAATGCATAGTGGAGAAACTTTTTCAATAGTTAAGTTTCATCGAGAAGACAATGAACAATGGAGAAACCATTTCAGTAGTTAAGTTCCATGGAGAAGACAATGAACATTGCAAAGTGTAAAATTGGTAAGATGATTTCATAAATTTAAGGGTAAAATAAATTAGAAAAGAGTAGTTTGGGCATTTAGAGAATTTTATACAACCGAATGAGAATCTTTTCGAAGTCAACTGACGGAGCACTATCGGAGGGGGGTCTTTGTTTAATGGCTAAAGTTTAGTAGGTCTTTGTTGCAAATCGAAGTCAACTGACGGAGCGCTTTGGGAGGTATGGCTGAATTTACAGAGACAGAACTTAGGGTTCTAGCTCCATTTGCAGGGAAATGAGAAGATGTCAAGAAGTGGAGCACCGCGAGAAAGAAGGTTGCTTACGTTTTCAGTTTTCTCGGTTTGTTGGATAGAGATTCATTTACATATCACCATCCATATATCAGATCTTACTGTCGGATAAAATGAGACTAAGTGCAAGGTGTTCCATGAAGCTACTAGTTGCGCCATAGCCGAGTGCAATCCATTTCTCTCCAAATCGGGGGTGCATAGAGTGTATGACTTGAAAGAAACAACTTATGACTGAGAAAGGAGATGGACAAACAGGAGATTTTGGGTCCGAGAGGTGGTTGAGAGGAAGGAGAGAATGAACAATAGATCTCTTTGTGCGTTAGTTAAGTGAAAAGTGCATTTCTAATAATAAAACATTAAATCAAAAGGAAGAGTTAATAGGAAAGGGTACTTTAAGACAATACTAAAACAGTAAAGGTAAAAGTATACTAAAACAATTTTTTTTAAGGATAGTTGAAGAAATTTGTTCAAATAAAATATGAAAAGCTTATAATATACGGTAACTGAGAAGCTAACACATGGATCCGGTAACTGTTTGTTCAAAACTAACACATGGAGTCGGTAACTGAGAAGCCTGAAGTATTCAGTCTCTGATGCACAGGGGACTTTGGTGCTCGGAAGAGAGAAATGAATTGTCGTAAAAGAAGGAACTCTCTGGCCTCCACTCCGTTCGTTCCCAAGGTTCAGTGAGTGAAGAGTTCAAAGACCCTTTTTTGGTATTACATATGATATGGGTTTACCAAGCTTTTACCATGCATGTTATCCAAAATGGATTCTGCCTAAAAAATAATAGGGGGTTACCGAACTCTCTCTTCATCATCATCCCCAAACTATCCGGCAAGTAAGTTCCTGAAAAGTAATAGAGAGAGGACTGAGGGGTTGCCTCTCTGGTTGGTTTGGCGACCATGAAGAAAGATTAAATGATTTGGTTTGCCCAAGTTTTGAATTTTTAGGGGCAATTTTGGTATTTAAATTTTTTAGAGTGCACTTTTAAGGGTTTCAAACGGTGCAATGACGTTGTTTATGCTATATAGGGCTGGTCAATAAGGCAAAGTTAATTGTGAAAATTCGGGGTATATATAAAGTAGTTTTTCAAATGTACAGGGCATATAAGTACTAAAAACCTTTCCTGATTGCAATCTGGGTATTCAGATGCAAAATTACTAAAATACCCCTGAAGATATCTGAGGTTGATTTCCAAATGGTTAAAGGCCATAAACTCCACAATTTTTGGGGTTTTAACTTAGCACCCTTGAGGATATCAATTCAAACCAAGTTAGCACTTTTGGGGAGTTAAAATACTAAATTTACCCTTGGGACTATCCATTCTTTGTGGAGTACCTTAGTAAATGTCCATCCCAATTAACAGTCCCACCGGTAAATCCGGTAAGTAACTCTTTTTCTTAATTTTATTATGCATTGGGAACTTCAATCACTCTGTCCAAAAAGATGCGAAGGAGGCAAAGAGCTTTATAGTGGTACACAAGATAATGTACATGGAGTCATGGACCATTCAACAATCCCAAGCTCCTCGTGCACTTGATTATCCTTTATTCACCATAATTTAAGAAGTTAAAAGAGAGGAACTCCTCAATATTATCAAGTTTGTAACTAACTGGATTACCATGGACCAAGGCACGACAGTTGGACACAATTGGATTTTCATATCAATTAAATTCATAAATGCCCCTAATACCAGTATTTCCCCCTGCATGATAATAGCTCAAGCGATGAATGGCACTGCAAGAGGGCTTCCAAGAGAATACCAATTAGACGCTAATGGGTTCGGTGGCCTTCTTCAGCCATGCCATCTCGGATTCATCCAAGAATGGCGCCAGCAGTTCCCTACATCTGGCATGGTATGTATTCACCCATTCTATCTCCTCAGGTGCTAGGACTCTCAAGTCCATCAACTTCTTCTGATACGGTGCCTGCGGGTAATATTAGACACTCCTGTTAGAAATATTCAAAAAGGATGAGTAAAATAGAACGGGTTTCCCCATCTAATAAAGCATACAAGAACACACACAAGTAAGGGTGATCTAGATTACTCATTTGATTAATTAACAAACCCCAAACAGAATATCTCCTAGACCAAGGAAAAAAAAACTCATTTAGCCATCGCAAACACCTCATCAACTTTGATTCTTTCTTGAACAATGCAGGGCCAAATGTCACATTCATGTCTTGCCATATTTACCTAAATTTCTAACAGGTGCAGATATTTTCATAATATAATTTGTTAGACATACCATTTTATATGTTTAAAGTGTTAATGCCATAGAATACATCTAGAAACAGCCATACATATCTAGTACTGTATCCAATAATTATTAGATATGATACTGGTACGCTAAGCATGTGCAGGTATCTGTGTATCATAGATTTTTTTTTTTTTTTTTTTTTCAACAGGCAAGGTAATATCTCTCATTAAAAAAAAAAAAGACAAATTACAAACAGCCCATGTACACAGATGCTGTACAATTGGAATATACAAAAACAAAGCAAAAGAACATAATTAAGAAAATAAGGATCCGGCATTAAAAAAAAAACACCAAGTCAGATGGCCAAGACCCCATGAAAAGGAGTTTGAATGCTTAACTAGGAACATAACAAACCCTTTAACTTGCTTTTTACAGTGTCTCGCAAGTTTCTTTCTACATTGTATCATTGATTTTCTAAAACAAAACAACTGTCACATCAGCAAAGTCATATTGTTTTTGTTTTGAAAAATAAGATCATTCATATTGGTGAACACCCCCTTAACTACCACTACACTGACTACACTAAGAGATGGAGAGGAAGGAGAACCAAAGAGGACAATAACCGTGCTTAGCGATAACACAAAGAGTCAAGGATTTCTATAAAGCCAATCTACACAAAGGTGAGTGCATTGTTGTCTCAAGGAATGCTAACACCATTTACATGTACCCAAGAACACACTTTTAACACGCTGAATAAGACTCAAAATTTCTCAAAGTTCACCATGATAGCCAATGTCTCTCTCTCTTCTTGGCATCAGTACCAACAATCACTTTGTCCTCATTCATAATTCTAGACTAATATTGAAATTTATCCAAATTGAATGTAATATGCGAAAGAGATCATGAAGGGAGCTGAGAATGTCACTGCATGACAATGACACTAAGACAAGCCAAGAGTCAGATAAGTATCACGATGCACCAAGGCAAGGGTGAGAATTTGAGGATGAGGATGCAAAGGATGCAAAAAGAGGAACCAGAGTGACACTGTAAGGCAATCCAAGGCTAGGTTTAACCAGGTCTACATAATGTGTTCAGGATGTCACTGGTAGGTGCCTAAATGATTGCTAATGGTGCCACCATGGTAAGCTGAAGTATTTTTTATGCACTGAGAGGTTTCAAAGGATGGCAAAGTGGTTCCATAAATAAGTAACAAGGCAAGCTAACAACTGGAAAGTATTGAGAAGTTCATAGAGGTAGCCAAAGTGACTTCACCAACACTAGAGGCCAGTCAAGAACTGGCCAAAGATATGTAACCACTGGGAAGTCAGCATAAGGTCTCCCTTGTCATTTGCTGATCTCAAGGGTGTTGAGCATCTAGATTGTTGGAGCCCCAAATTATTAGGCATCAGGATTGAAATTGATGAAATACTAAGGGGGATCATAATATAGAGTTGATGACTGAAATTGATGTCTGGAGTTCATCAGGATTCTAAGATGTCATCTGGACATCATTGTTGCTGATGTGGAACTGGACTAGAATCAGCATGTTCTGAGTAATTAATGAGCTGGCCAAGAATCAAGAAAATATTATTTTGGGTTTTTTTTTTGAGAAAAGGTAAAGTATGATTATATTAATAATAGGCCCTGTGTACATTGGGTAGCTGTACAAAAGAAGGACCTCAAAAGAAGGCCATCCTCAAAAAAGTATAATCAGAAAAACTATCTTTAAAACAGTATGTATAGACATCCAACTTTTCAAAACCTCTATTGACCAGTTAATGACCTCTGCTTCAGTAGAAGATTTTTTTTTCAAAAATCCTATTGTTTCTTTCTGACCACACAGCCCACAGCACTGCCAAAGGGATGGAATTCCAGCATAATTTTCCTTTTTTAGACATCCCCTGAATCTGCCATTCCTCAAACAGAGCTCTAACTGAGGCTGGCATACACCAACTTAGATTCAGAGATTTGAAGAAGTGAGACCAAACTGCAGAACTAAACTTGCAGTGGAGGAAGAGATGCCCAGATGATTCCACTTGCTCATTGCAAAAATAGCACCTCCAATCTGACAAAAAGAGCCATTTTTTCAGCGGCATTTCTTTGGACAAGCACCTGTCCAGAACCACCACCCATACAAAAAACTTGACTTTAGGAGAAGACAAAGTCCCCCAAACTGCCTGACTAGGGAAAGGAGCTTCAAACCTCCCCACTATAAAATTGTAAAAAGATTATTTTGGTTTCATGCAGGACATCATACGTTGCTTGTAATGCAGTGATTAGAGACTTAAACCATGTCCAAAACCAGCTGCTGGCTGGCAAATTTCCAAGCATTGAAACAAAGATGCTTGTAATGCAGAAGAATAAGACCAAGAAAACAATCATCCATGAGGAACCTTAAAAAATATTAGTTACCTATATTTGATTACTTCGATACTATTTTTCTTTGCTTGAATTTCAACCTCCCATACACACCCACCAAAAAACAACAAAATTTTCTTGTAAGGTTATCTTTTAATGCAGAAAATTGAATGACAAAGACTTGAAAATAATTGAAGACAATGTCAAACAAAATAGGATTTTCATTTGGCCCCAACCAAGCAAAATTGAAGGTTCTCTTCAAATTTTTGAAGAAACTTACTTTTTAGTGTTTTTACTTATCCTTTTTGTGAATTTAAACAATTCTAGTCAGGCCTATTAAACCACTATTATTATGAACTGGAATAGAATTACATACAAAATAATGAGAATAAATGACAAAACTAAAACTTACCCAAGTTATGTGCTCAAATGATAAGTAGCCTTTATCCCCAAAATTGAATTTTGTGTCTGCCTCCTTGACTATAAGCACATTCTCCAATCTAATACCAAAGCTCCCATCTTCATAGTAACCAGGTTCTGAAAATCCAAATATAAAAATTGTTTATCAACCATTTCATACCTATTTTCTGGTTATTGAAAAGACAAGCATGCCACAATGAATAAAATACACCTGATGCAGAACCAGCAAATATCATTTCTTGCACCAGATTTCGTTTTCATGATAGAAACATTTATGGAGTTATAGAAATGAAATCAGACGTTTTAAATAGTTTTCAAAGGATATGCAATTGGAAATTCAATGGGTCCAAAGGTCAGATAATAGTTTGGCTAAACAAAGGGGTGAATAAAGCAACAGTTATTTTGGGCTCAAATGCAAAATTTGTAGTGGGGAGAGATAGCAGGGGCTAATTAATAAATTGTGTTATTTATCAAAAAATACCATAACCAAAATTTCTGGTTATTCTTGCCTAGCCTAAAAACTCAAAATTCTATCCCTATCTATGCACCATAGGTTTTATCTTGTTTACCCCCAGTAACCATTTCAATCCTCTACACAAAGAATATAAAATACCACCAAAATCTAGGAGGTTTGGCCACAGTAGTAGCTCTGTGTTCAGTCTAGGGTAAGAAATTACAACTGTTGGGCTGACAGAAAAACAATAGATGAGAAATACATTTAGAACCAAAATGTATATTCATGCATCTCTTCATCAGATAAGAGAAGGGCATGAAATGCTCCTTCCCCTTTTAAAAAGCTCCCTGTCCAATCTGCCTGCATTCTATCTTTCCTTACTTCCAATTCCAAGTAAAGTGGCCCAAAGAATTGAGAGGCTGTAGAGGGACTTTTATGAAAAGGTTGGGAGGAGGACAGGAAGAAAATCCACTTGGTTAATTGGGATAAGGTGTGCTCTCTGAAAGTTAAAGGAGGATTGGTCATCAGGCGAATGAGGATTTTCAATAAGGCTCTTCTTGGGAAGTGGATCTGGAGATTTGGTTTGGAAAGAAACAACTGGTGGAGGAAGCTAATGGCAACTAAATACAACACAGATAGAGGAGCTGGATTACCACTTCTCTCCCCTCCTTAGGCTGCTCCGTTTGGAGGAAAATGTTAGAATTGTTAGAATTAGTTAATAGGGGCATTATTGTCTTTTCATGTTAATTTTCTATCTTATGTCTGATGTAACTTACCGAAGGGTATTGTAGCCATTTCAGCTTTAGTAGAATGCTAATACAACCTGGGTTGACAGTAAGGAGAGGTGGATTAGATTTGTCCTTGCTAGTCTTCCCTCTTTTCTTCTCTTTCCCTTCTCTTTCTCTTCCTATCTTCTTCTCTTTCTTTCTTCTATCCTTTTTTTCACCTTTTCTTTTCTTTATTAAAGTTGGAATAGAAAATAATGGACATTCTCCCCATTTTCAGCAGAGGTTTAAATCCCATCCAGGGAAGGGTGGCAGGTTGTCCTTTTGGAAAGATCCTTCGTGTGGAAACACTCCTTTATCAGAGTTATTCCCACAATTATCAGTTAGCTGATCACCAAGATGCAGTGATTGTTGATTGTTTTGAGGTGATTGGGAATTTAGTAGCATGGTGTCCTCTCAGAAGGAATTTTCAGGATTGGGAAATCGCAAACCTGGATGATCTACTTGAGCTGCTATCCCTCCAACCCCTGAATCTGGTCAAAGAAGATAGTTGGTCCTGGACTTGAAGCACAGATGGTCTCTTCTCAGTCAAGTCCTTTGCCACAAACCTGACGGCAAATTTTTCAGAAGACATGCCTGCTTCCAGAATCTGGAATCCAACCTCTCCCTCAAAAATCAATGCTCTGATGTGGGCTGCAGCTCTAAACAGATGTTTAACTAAAGCCCATCTATTTAAGAGAGGGATCCAGCTTCAGGATCAGAGTTGTGTGTTGTGTGATCAAGAAGTGGAAGACAACAGCCATTTGTTTCTGCACTGCTCTATCTCTGCTAGAATTTGGAATCATTTTCTCTCTTCGTTGGGTCTTGCTTGGGCTATGCCAGTTTCAGTGAAAGAGATGTTCTGGAGCTGGGGGTTACAAGGGTTGTCAAAGCTTGCTTCAGCAGTGTGGATGCCCATTCCGACTGCAGTTATCAGTAGGGGTGGATTTGAGCCGAGCCGAGCCAAGCCAAACTGTACGAGGCTCGAGCTCGGCTTGCCAAGGTAGTACAAGGCTCAAGTTTGACTTGAGAAAAAATGTTTTATAAAAATAAAAAAATTATATATAAAGAAATATTTTTTATTTGATATTCAAAAAATCAAGAATTATAATAATTAGTTATTCTTATATATAAAAATAAAAATGTTATATATATAATATTTTTATTATATATATTATTTTCTACAATTTTAATTTATCATTATCCTGATCACTCGGCTCGTGGCCACCCCTAGTTATCAGCACCATTTGGGCAGAAAGGAACAAAAGGCTCTTCCAAAATATCTATAAGGAACCGGAGGGCCTGATATCCATTTCTTTTTGAAAGCTGATTTCTTAGGTCTCGGCTTCGAAGGGGATTCAGGCTTCTCGGTTGGGGGCTAGGATGAATTCTAGGAGCCTTTGGCATTTGTAATCTTGTTCTGTTTGGGCTGTTTCCCCTGCTAAGGTGTTTTCCTTGGGGGGTCCCTTTTTACTAGTATTTTATATCAATAAAATTTACCTTACGTCCTTACCTTTTCACAAAAAAAAAAAAAGCTCCTTCCCCTTTGTTCAGGATGAGGAAGAGAGTACTCATAGGAACTCCTGCATCCCTACAACAAAGCATGCCCTAAAAGAATAAAAGGTGCATATACAAAAGAAAAACTACATGCACATGTTGACCAATTTTAACTATTATCTTTTTTGTTTTTTGATAGATGTACCCATTTCAACTCCTAGATACAACAGAATAATTAAAATCCAAGACAAAGAAATGTGCAAAGATTGAAGAGATCACAAGAATAATCCTTTTCAAACTTCTCAAAGCATAATAACGATGCTTTTTCTACTTCTGTTTTGAGGGCAGATTTTTTTGAAGGGCCCTAAATAGATATACATGTACAGAACTTCATTGTACAGAGGTCCATACTTTTTTTTAATTGAAAATTTAACTCATTACTCAAAGAAAGATATGTTACAAATAAGCCCAGAGAGAGGCTCGAGGTGCAGCCTCACTCTTTAAGAACAAATCAGGACTACATGAGATACTAGTTACCATTAGAAGAGAGATTATACACAATCATAAAGCTGCCCAGAACAGAGAAACCCTATTAACCCCTTGCTGTGCAGTAGAATCAGCCATCTCATTAGTCGATCTTCTTACCCATTGGATCCTCACTATCATATTCCTAGTTACCCAAGCCACCTTATTAAGAAGATCTCTGAAACCCCAGACAGTCGAATCTGGATCCAGCAACCATCCCACAACAACCTAGGAATCGCCTTCAATTATCAGCCTTTCAATACCAAGTCGGCTGGCTAGCTGAATCCCCTGTACAGCAGCTAATAGCTCTGCTCTGGTAGAATCTCCCAAGCCGACTGGAACTGAATATACTGCTAAGATATTGCTGTCCTTGTCTCTCAAGATTCCTCCTATACCAGAGGGGCCAGGCTTACCTTGGCTGCTTCCATCAAAGTTTAGTTTAACAAACCCTTCAGGAGGAGGGACCCAAACTACAAGAAACCTCTGTTTTGAAGATGAGAAGTACTAGCCATCATTGACCAGTTCCTCCATAAGTCATCAAAGGAGAAAGACTGGGCTAAAGAGGTTGTTCTCAACCATTGTATCGCCCTTAAGAAAATGCAATCCTTCAACTCAGAAAGGCTTCTTTCCTTATTGTGGAAGATTCTAGTGTTCCTTTCCTCCCAAATAGTCCAAAGGGAAGCTGCCCTAATGCATCTCCACATTAATCTTCCTCTTTCTGATTGATTGCCAAGGACTGAGGGTTCAAACAACTGAGAGACTTCCACTGGCAGCAGCCACCTGCAACGAAAGAGGGCAAAATCCAACCCCAAATAGCTGTAGCAACAGGGCAAGATAAGAACAGATGGAAACAGTCCTCACCATTGGATTTGCAAAGAGCACCAGTTTGGGGACAAGCAGAAGTAAGGCCTTTTCTTCTGCACCTTGTCCAAAGTATTAACTTCCCAAGGAACACTTCCCAACAACAAACAGAGACCTTTGGGGGAATGAGCTTAGTCCAAACTTCCTTAACAGGAAAGGGTACATAGACAGAGGACAAGCAAAGGATTTTGAAAACAGAAGCAACTGAAAAGGCACCTTTAGAAAAAGGGAACCAAATCCTTTCATCTGACTTAAGGGGGTTCAAACAAACATTAGCCAAGAGAAACAAGAGGTCTGTCACACAAGTCAATTCTGCCTCCCTTAGACCTCTTCTAAACCCTAAATCTCAATTCAAAGAACCAGGGGTGATAGGAAAAGAAAGACACCTGGCCATAATCTCATTTTTCCTCAGGGAAACTGAATAGAGAGAAGGAAAAAGATCCTTTAGGGCTGAGTTACCCAACAAAATGTCTTACCAGAACCTTACTAAATTCCCAGAACAAACATCATACCTTATATAACGAAGGAATTCGGGGAGGATCTTTGAAATTGCTTTCCATGGTGAAGCCAAAGTAGCCTGACTAGATGAGCCAGCATCCCAACCATTGTCCAAGCAACCATGTATACTACCTATAACCACATGCCACAAGGACCCTCTCTCTTGAGGCCACCTCCACAGCCATTTGCCCAGCAAAGCTGTATTCTTACACGCTACATTTCCTAAGCCCAAACCAACCTGTTCTTTATTCCTACAGACCAAATCCCAACTTACTAAGTGATCCCTTTTCTCCTCCCTAGGTTCCTAAAGAAAATTCCTCATCAGTCTCTCTAACCTCTTGGATTCCCTGATAGGGATTCTGAAGACAAAGAGAAAGTAAACTGGTAAGTAGGCTAAAGTGGCCCTAATCAAGGTAACTCTACCGCCCAGGGAGATGTAATTCTTCTTCCAGGAGGCCAACCTTTTCTCAAACTTCTCCAACACTGGAATCCAAAAGCATCTCTCTTTAGGATTTGCA